GAGTGGGCAGCTGCCCCCACATGGCTGGGGGGCCCTTGTGCAGGGGGCTCTGCAGCACCAGCAACCAGCAGCCCTTGCATGCTTCCAGCAGCAGACCGGCTGGGGGCCTGCTGCTGCTGCTGCTGCTGCTGCCGAGGAAAGTGGCTAAGGTGGGGAGGATGCTGCTGGGGCTGCGGCATCAGGTGGTGGGGCGGCGCCAGCAGAGGGATGGTCTGCATCTGCTGCTGCATCTGCTGCTGCATCTGCTGCTGCATCTGTTGCTGCATCTGCTGCTGCGGCGGCGGCTGCATGTAGCCGTGCTGCTGCAGCGGGACGTGTGGGACTGTTTGGTGCTGCTGAACAGTGGGCAGTGCCAGTGGTTGCTGCGGCATGATATGCTGCTGCTGCTGCTGCATGCGCGGCTGCACGTGGCGCTGCTGCTGCACATGCTGCAGCTGCGGCAGCACGAACTGCTGGTGGCGTTGCTGCTGCTGCAGCATCACGGGCTGGGGCTGCTGCTGCTGCTGGGTCATCCGGCCGGCAGGCTCGAGGATCGGCTGCTGCGGCTGCTGCTGCAGCAGCTGAGCCGGGGGGACCCCCAGGGGCCCCCCGGCCTCGCCCAGGGCACCTGAGGGGCCCTCTGGGGGCCCCAGGGCCCCCACAGTGTGGGAGTGGTACTGAAAACAGGGTACTGCCCCTCTTCTGTCTTCTATGGGGGCTGGCAGCGGCAGCCACTGCTGCTGCTGCAGATCTTGGGAGATGCAAGCCATTGGTGAGCCTGTTGCGTCTGCTGCTGCCCTTGGGGTTGCTGCAGATGCTGCAGCAGCTGCGGCGCAGCAACGGCTGCTGCAGCGGCTCTTGCTGCTGCTGCTGAAGGCTCCTATCGACGCCTGCAGCAGTCGTGCTGCTGCTGCTGCTGTTGCCTAGGGGGGCCCCCGAAGCCTAAGAGCCCCTTTAAGCCTCTTCCTGTCGCTTGCGCGCCATGGCAGTCAGGGGGGATGTAAAAAAGCTGCTGTTGCTGCTGCCCTGCTGCGGCAGCAGCAGCAGCAGAGCAGCGGCGGCAATGGCCGTGTCTGTCGAATCGCGCAGTGGAAGAGCCCCTGCAGCGACGCAGGATGGTTTAGGGTTTAGGGTTTAGGGTTTGAGCAGCGAGGGAGGCCAAGAGAACAGCCATTTGACCCGGAGAGAGAGGCTAAGAGACAGCCAGTGGCCAGACAGAGGAGTGGTCAGCGAGGTGCTGCTGGGCACCTTGAAGCTGCAGCAGCAGCAGCAACAGCAGCAGCAGCAGCTCGCTCTCAAACATGACAAACAAAGCCACAAGTTCTAAATCTTAAACGCTGATAACAACTTCCCCCGAGATCGTCCAGCAAGGCCAGGACCCTGCCGCTGCGAGAGTGGCCCGCACGGGAGACCCGCAGCAAGAGCGGTAGCAGCAGCCGCTGCTGCTGCTGCAGCAGCAATTAGCGATGCAACGACCGCCGCACAAGCAGCATTTAGAAACAACATGGCTTGTCTTTTTCGGGCACATAAGGGAGACTGGATGAGCAACGGAAGAGACATCTGATCCCCTTGCCCTGGTTTTCAGTGACCGGTGGCAGCAGCAGCAGCGGCGGCAGCAGCAGCAGCAGCAGAAAAGCTCAGTGGCCCATCTTCTACACTGAATGATAATATTGTGTGTTTAAGCGGGCTTTTTCTTAGCAGTGTAGCTGCGAATAATAGCCACGAAGGCCGCGCCCGACTGCCGCAGCAGCAGCAGCAGCGGCAGCAGCAGCTGCAGCAGCTGAGTGGTCTTCGTCTCGTCGTTCTTTGGCCTTCTCACCCGTAGATGAAGCCATTTTCCTGTGGGCTTGAGAATCTGGCCGTAGATGCAACAGGGTAGGCCCATTCACGGCAGCGACTGCGGCAGCAGCAGCAGCAGCAGCAGCAGCAGCAGCTGCAACAGCAGCGGCGGCGGCAGGGCGAGCATGAAGTGAAGAAGCCGTTTACAGACTTCAAGGGCCTCTCAGCACCCACAGTGCACGTCCAGGCCTCAGCCCGATCCGCGCAAACGACAACGCCAACAGCGGCAGCAGCAGCAGCGCAGCAGCAGCAGCAGCAGCAGCAGCGGCAGCGAAAATGATGCTCCGGTACCTCTTCAAGAAGCAGCCAGGGGGGGGGCCCGCGCCCCTCATTCACAACCCTGTGCGCTGGTGGATTTTGCTGCTGATTTGTCTCCACATGTTTCTCTTTACTGTTGCTGCTGCTGCTTTTGCCTTTCCCTCCATGTGGGACTTGTACTGCGTCCAGCTGCTCAACAACTCCACCTACTGCGCCGTCTGCGCAGGTGCAAACCCTAAACCCTAAACCCTAGACCCCAAACCCTATCCCCTAAACGTTAAGCCCTAGACCGTCACCCTTTGCAGCCCCGATAAGTTCCCTCTCCCTCGCACTCATATACTGTGCTGCTGCTGCGCTGCTGCTGCGCTGCTGCTGCATCTCCGCCTCCCCGCCGCTGGATGGCTGCTGCTTCCCTGCTGCCTCCCTGCCCCTCCCCCCCTC